TCACGGCTCAACTCGATACATCTTAAAGGGACCGGTTCAGTGACTCGTGACCAGACTCGTCGAGTCACATAGATGACTCGTCGAGTCGTAGCCATGCATCCATAAAATACACCGATTTGCTCGATTCCAGTCCATGCCATTCACAGATCTGGGCTTCTAGGACACAAATCACACGTAAAGTTTCCAACTTTACGTGTAGATATTCACCAATATGGATTTTAAGGCTCAAAGTGCACCAAAAGGGGTAGATCTAGGGCTTTCATGCAATACGACCCCATAAAGGCATTAGATCCAAGTTCCAGGGACTAGATCATGCCTAGATCTAAAGGCTAACAACTTATTATCACCCACAAAGCACAAACAAGCTTGGGGAAGAGCCCAAGAAGGACTCCAATGAAGCAAAAAGGGATTACAAGCTTGAAAACAGAGGGGAAACGAGCTATACCTCAAGGAATACTTTGAAATGACACAAAGATGGCTGATCTCCTTCTCCTCTTCTTGATCTACTCCTCTTTCTCCTCAAAACCTCCAAGAACACACCAAGAACACTTCAATCTCTCAAGGGAATAAGGGAAAATGATGTTGGGGGAGTTCTGGGGGTGAATGGGGACGAGTTGGGGCGGAGTGAGGGTTTAAATAGGGTGCAAACCCTTGAAACTTAGGGTTTCATCCAGCAGCAGTGACTCGCCGAGTCCAGGATATGGACTCGCCGAGTCGCCCACTTAAACGTGTCCTGAGTCTCGTCCCTACTCGGCGAGTCGGACCTTATGACTCGCCGAGTCCAAGGCTAAAATAGGGCAATGCTCAAATAAAATTCACATACCGGAAACCAGGTGCTACATTATGGGTCGAGTAATTGTTGAGATTTGGGTCAGTGATGTTTCATGGGTAATTCTCGGATCGTTGAGTGTGGTTATCAGAGGGTACATCTGGTGCCCGGTTCGAGACAGTGGTCAGGACACCGTAAGGAAAGGAAAAGTGTGTTCGAGTTTCGATGGGTATGCCTTGTGAGATCTGGTCCGATTAAGGCCAGGTGGCACGTTGTGGGAGTATTTCTGGAGTTGAGTTGCTGTAGGCTTCGAGGGCGAAGCCTAATTTAAGTGGGGGAGAATTGTAACATCCCGAAATATCAAGAGTAGAGTTGAAGGGCTAAAAGAGTAAATTGGGAAAGAGTGAAATCGGTGAGTCCATATGCGGACTCGGCGAGTAGAGTCGCGACTTGGTCGCGTGTTAAGTGGCTGACTCGGCGAGTCAGTGTAATGGACTCGGCAAGTAGACGCTGAGTGGAGAAAACCCTAATTCTCGGGGTTGAGCCTTATATAAAGATCACTATGTTTTCCTCCCAGCCTCTTTATCACCCCTTGAGCCCCAGAAAACCCTAAATCACGGAGAAGCACCATTGTTGAGTGGATTGGAGCTTGGAGAAGTAATGGTTGAAGGAATTTTGGGAAGATTGAAGGCTTGGAGCAAGGGGCTTTGCTTGGATTCGAATTGCATTGCAGTTGGGGCATCACTTAGAGGTAATATCTCGTTATTGACCTGTTGTTATGTTGTTTCTTCATTTTGGGGTTTGTGAGAAATTGTCTATGGATGAAATGGGAAGTCTAGAGGTTAGATCTGAGGTTGCTACCTCAGATCTGGAAGGGAGAAGAATCAGAGAGCATGAAAGTCCCTGTGTTGGAGTGTTTAGTGAAGCTTACATGTCCCAAACCCTAGCCCCAATGTGCAAACGGCTTAGATCTCTTTGGATTCACGTAAAGTTTGCCACTTTACGTGATGGATGAGTGGTAGGAGACTAGATCTATGTTTTGGATCAATTGCATGGCCTGAGATGCTTCTGTATGGATTCAGACCGGTGGTACTCGACGAGTCACATGGGGCGACTCGACGAGTTGCTTGAAGATGGCCTGGAACTCGACGAGTTGGAAGAACAACTCGGCGAGTAGGTTGAAGATAGCCTTGGACTCGACGAGTCCATTTGGACTCGGCAAGTCTTGTCGAAGAGTCCCAAATATTCTCTGGTTGAGTCGAGAATCGGTGAGTCGAGGGATGACTCGGTGAGTCGTGTGCGAGTGGACTCAGAGTTGTTGGACTCGGCGAGTCTCGGGGTGACTCGGCGAGTTAGGTCGCAGATTGAGTGAAGTTCTGATTATGGGAACTCGACGAGTCACAGGGTTGACTCGGCGAGTAGGGTCAGTCAGGGGTTGACTTAGACTGAGGACTTTGATTTCGACCAAGGGTTGGCCGTTGACTTTTAGGGTTTGGTCAGCGATGTGGCCTTTGGGCCAAGAGAGAGGTAAAATAGTCTTTTACCCATAAGAGGGTGTTATGAGAGGATTTATTCTAGTCTCGAGAGTTATATTCATGAGAGTATTTGCCTTACGTGTTAGGCGGTGGCGAGTTCGAGATTCAAGTGTGGGGATATCTGCTTTCTGCTTGCCAGGTGAGTCTTCTCACTATACTTTACCTTGAGTAGGTAACCAGAGTTATGTGATCAAAGTATTTGTATGCTATATGTACGTGATGTGTTGTACTGCATTATTTCTATGTGATTTATGTTGTGCATGTTTATAGAGTTGGAACCGGAAGGTTCCCAGAGTTAGAACCTGAGGGTTCACAGAGTTTGGGTGCACGGACCCATAGAGTTATAGCCTTAAGTGGCTAATATGTGTTATGTGTGGTATTTTGGGGAACTCACTAAGCTTCGTGCTTACAGTGTTTTGTGTGATGTTTTTCAGGTTTCTTTCAGTATCACGGGACGGCACCGGCTTGATTGTACACACCAGAGAAAGAGTCATATTTTGGAGGATCCTGGTTTTCTATGCAAGTGAAAATGGAGTCATGTTTTGTAAATCGACTATGAATGAGATTTTAAACAAGTGTTTCTAAGAATAAAATGATTATTTTAAATGAAAATTTTGTCTTGAAATTTACGGTGTTACAATTAAATATACTCTTTAAGCCACAAAAGATTTCTAGGTTATCCCTAAATGGAAGGAATCAACATAGTTTTTTAATGAACTTATTCATCTAGTCATATTTGATTACATCTTCTAAAGCAGTAATGTATTATGATGTTGTAGTAGACTGTGCAATTTTGTTTTGCTTAAACCTTATTCCAAGAAAACTTACTCTTCATTCTATTGAAGTCATAATCCAATTATAATTCATAATTATATCTATGTGTTTTGGAGTTAGCATCTTGTGTAGCTCTTTACATAAAGATCTTCTTCTAGATTGATTAACGCATACACATTCTTTTAGTTCTTCTTAAGTACTCTCATAGTGTCCTTATAGTCATCCAATGAGTTACTCATGTATCTAATTGGTATCTTATGATATGTTCACAAAATAATCATATACCTAGTTTTTTTTTTTCATATTATGGCATAAATGATGGATTTATTTGCCAAGCAAATATAATATAAATCATTTTATCTAGCTCAAATCTATGTGCTAGACTTTTAATAATGAAAATGTATGAATAATAGTTTTTAGAATGAAAATGCATGAATAATAGTTTATTAACATAAAAGCTTCGAACATTAGTCGATGCATTCTGTCAAGCACAAACATCTGTTATTTGCAAGTTTTAGAAAGTATTATGACAAAAAAAAAAAAAACAAATATATAGTGTTCAAAAGTATAAAATAAGCAATATAAGATATGTAATTTGGCATAATCTATCTCAATTTATCTAAAACTCTCAACAGACAACACCAACTTCATCAAAATTAAGAAAAAGAACTCAGTACTCACCAGAAAAGAAGACAATAGAGAAGATTCATTGATAAAAAAAGGGTTGAAGCATCGGAAAACTTTATTTAGTGTTTGCATCACTTAAAATACGGATGTTACACGATCCTAATTCGGAAGTGGTGGGCGATTTAGACGAAATTGAAATTAAAAGTTCTTTAGTCTTGAAGCTATGAAGTTGATGTCCGAGCTTCATAAGGAGTTCTCCTCGAGTACCCTTAAACCCCCCATTGGGAAAAACGGCCAAACCATCAATGGAAAACGCGGAGAAAACGAAAATTGGAGGTCAATAACACTTTCAATTGAGGGCTATACTACCTTTCCATGGTGCTGAACAAAGGTTGAAGATTAGAGAGTTGTCGTATTTTTGGGGAAAAGTAGAATCTTGATGATGAAAGTCTACATTAGACTTCGGCGATGAAGACACAAACCTACGATCGATAGGAGAATAAAGACAGTTATATTGGAGGAACACGTGGCCACCTTAAAAGCCATCAGTTCAATACCAGCCACTAAACACAAAAGAAACCCAGCCGAAAAACAAAGAAACCCAGGGAAACAAAGGAAAACCGGAAACCACCTTTTTGTTAGATCTTTGTTAAATGGAAAACTCTCCCTATGAAACTTGTCCCACATTAGAAGAAAGAGGAACCTTATACTCCCGTAAAAAGCCTCCTACTAGTTGTTTACTAATTAGATCAAATGTTTATATATATATATATATATATATATATATATATATATATATATATATATATATATATATATATAAATTCTAATTTTGACTTTTATTATCTATTAAAAACATCTGTTAAATTCGTTTTAACTGTTTCGACAGTTATTTTCGATTAGCAGTTTTTGGAAGGAAAATAGTCAATCTATATGTATAAATAGATCACCAAAGAACATATTTCGGGTTCAGAAAAACCATACAAAATATTCCTCATATAAATTCGTATTCCACATACAAGGAAGGGAACATAGTGAATTTCGTCAGAATCAAGAGAAGATCTTTGTTGATTATTGTATCTTCTTGATAGATCCATACCAGGGAAATTTCTGTCTTAGGACACTGCAAGACAGGGCTCAATCTCTATAATTCCGTGATTATATTTCTGTGTAATCATCAAACAATTATGTTTTCTGTAAATTGATTCTTGTATATTATATATATTTGAATTTCGTTTGTTTTATTTTCAATTAGTTTTGTTGATTGTATACTTCTATAATAACACTTTTCAAAACCCCTGCTACTGTTCATAAATAGCATGTCCATTGATATACTTATATAATGTATATATATAGGGAGAAACCACAAACCGTATAAACAAACAACTTAAAAATAAAGGGAATTGGAGACACGGATGGAAACGGGAAACAACCGCGGCGGATACATAATTACATATCCAAAAGTCATTTTTGAATTTTTTGGTTCACAAGAAATTCATAGAAGTATCTGTGGATGGAGATATTGGATTGTTGGATGTTGTTGTCCTAATTAATTAGCTAGCCATTTAATCTTAATAGAGGACTTTGAATCATGCTCGATTGTGAATGTGGATCTATAATTAGTTTCCTGATCCCAAAATTCTGAGCAATCTGCTGCGTTTTTTTGTTGTTTGATCTTTACTTTTCCTACAAACGAGTTCAACTCCGACTCTATCTGCCAAAATTCCAGAAAAGGAAATCGAATTGTATGTTGAATTCAAGCATGCAGTGCTCCTCAATGAATTAAAGGAAACATATCCCACATATGTTACTGTGGCCCTTGGATCTAAAACAGGCTCCAGTTCTTCGATATACTCCTCAAATCGAGAATCCTCATGTACCTCCTGCTTGATGATTATATCAAATTCTGGATATGGGCTGAAGGTAACAGCGCGTAGTAAGAACCCAGAATAGTCATTGTACCAACCATGTGGAAGACGCCGTGTAAATGTGTTCCCCCAAAAGAGCCTCCCTAAACCCCCTATTGGAATCGGATATTGAAGCGTGCCACTGATGAAGTGATCTTCAATAGCGTTTCCCTGCCATGGAAAAAACACACACGTTCAGTTAATTATATATGATTCTTAAATGTGTTTGGAATTCTTATATTATGTAAACCATAAAGATTGAAACTCCAAACCTCGAACATGGACATCAGGAACATCCAACCATCAAGTGGATCTACTTCACACGCCCCATAAAGAGAGACTTTCCATAGCCATTTACAGTTTGAAGTATCTCCGAAGGTTTTAAGAGAGAGACAGAAGAGTGCTATAAGGACAGCTATGCTTGATGGGAGCCCTGATAATTCTACAAGGTACATGCAAGTTGACACATCAAGGAATTTGAGTCGAGGAAGTCTCATGAGACTGAAATCTAAACGTGAAAAGTTATTGTCTGATAGATTGAGTTCTTGCACGTTGGGTAACTCCCAAACAACACAGCTCATGATGTCTTCATCTTCCAAACTGCAAGCACTTAGATTCAACTTTATTAAGTCTCTGCGAAAAAAACATGACCGTATGGGGTTCGGGTTCAGGTTCAGGTTCAACTTGGACAACTCCGCAACAGCAGAGCTCATGTCTTCATCTCCCAAATTCTCCATCTTCTGTTGGATCTCTGAGAGCTCAAAAACTCCAGGTGACACTCTAAATGAAAGAGTCTCGAGTTTCTTTAGTCCGGTAATGGATGGAAATTTCTTAATACCCAAACACTCTTCTATACTTAAGCAAACAAGCCTGTCCAACCCTCCAAACGAAGTATGAATCTCTTCTAATTTCGGACATCTAGAAAGCCTGAATATTTCGAGATATGGAATTCCGTCAAAATTTGGTGTCATGATTAGGTTATCCAAATCGTAAAGTTCCATTGTCTTCAGATTTCGCAGCACCTGGTCAAAACCATATCAAGGTGATGACGAGAGTTCTATAGTGGATGATAAATAGGCAAAAGAAACTAATTCCTTTCATCCATGATTGTTTAAGTATATATAACAAAAAAAAACAATAAAAGATTATGTCAATGTTTTATAATGAATATTAATTAACAAGATAGATTTGAATAGAAATCGTACTTAAAAAATTATACAGTATTTATGTTCAAAAAAACAAAACGATTTTTGTATTTATGTTTGGACAAAAGGGTATTCATGTTTCCATGCGATAGGTTGTTACAACTGAAGTTGCTTAATAATATCAATAATAGGTGACATAACTATGTGCTCTTATCCATTTAACTACTTCCAATTTACTCTCTCGATTAGTGATCAAGTTTATAATTTTCATTTGTGAATTAGATAAACAATAAGAATTACCTTATAACCGTTCCAAAGTTGGTCTTGAGTGGAACTGCGCAATATCAGACAACAAAGCTCCTTTGGTGGAAAATTATTTAGCAATGGATTTGCAGGATCACCTTTCCATTCAATATACCGAAGGTTCCTCATATTTGCAAGAATTGGAGAAAGAGGCTCTCTGTTAGCTGGAACTCTAAAATGTTCAACAACCTCAGGAGGAAGAGGTCCTTCATATTGTGTGAGTTCAGTGAAGCTAAGGAAACTGGCTTGTATTGCTTCAATCTTGTCAAGATCCTGTGACAGAGGAAGAAAATGGTGTCAACTAGAGTAACAAACTTAAAAGTTTTTTTTTTTTTTTGTGTGTGTATATATATATATATATATATATATATATATATATATATATATATATATATATATATATATATATATAATATATATATATATATATATATATATATATATATATATATATATCATGCACAGCTAGCTTAACGGTTAATACCATCGTTGCATCCATAGCACATAATCTTAGAACATCTTCCTTCAACCAAACTCTGCTATGTTTCTCAGGATTCTTAGGGTGTTCTCCTCTGACAATGTGGTGTCCCATTTCTTGGACCAGATCATGCATATCAAAACATCCACGTGAAATAGTTATGAGAGCCTTTTGTCTCAACTCCTCTACTCCTATAACAGGATGAAAACCACATGCATCAAGCCTCTCCATCGCCCAATCTTTCTGCTGCCACCTAAAAAAGCATGCAATATCAAGGAACAAGTCTTTCTGAATCTTTGTAAGTCCATCAAAGCTGACTTTTAGCTTTTCCAAAACCTTATCATCTGGGACATCTTTCAGTCTGGCTATTGCACTTTTCCACTGATCAATGTTTTTGTCACAGAGAGAAGAACCGAGAACTGTAAGTGCTAATGGAAGCCCACCAGCATAAGAGACCACCTCTTCTGAAAGCTCCTCATAATCTTTCATGGGTAAGCAACCCCGGAATGCATGCTTGCGAAACAGCTTGATAGCCTCATCACTGCTTAGTAAGCTAACATCGTGTACCATAACTTTGTGAGCATTTAATAGATGCTCATCTCTAGTTGTGATTAGTATTCGGCTTCCTTCCCCAAACCAATCCGGTGATCCAGCTAACACTTCTAGTTGCTCAAGTTCATCGACATCATCAAGAACAATCAAAACCCTTCTATTGCGCAACCTCTTATCTATCAAGCTTCTTCCTCCTCCAATGCTCTTTCCTTCAATTTTTTTAAGAATTTTTTTTGCAATTTTTCCAAACCATGCCTCCTTGATTCCTTTCGAATGTTTGCAATAAAGCAGCAACCATCAAATTTTCTACCGATTTCATCATATATACAAGATGCAAGAGTAGTCTTGCCACCGCCTCCAACCCCCCATATTCCAATCATTCGCACACCACTCGATCCTATTTGTAACTCCGATTTTAAACGTTGCACGCGAGCAGACATTCCGATTAGCTTCTCATTTGCAGTTGCAGTTACTAGCTGCAACCTGGATGAAATCTTGTCAACAATTTCTTTGATAGCCTTTGATTCATGCCTACAGATTGGATATACGATGGTAGTTAACACATGATCACATTTACAAAAGAGATAATTTGTGTAATGCTCTATTGAAAAAAAAAAAAAAAAAAAAAAAAAAAAAAAAGGAGTCATAACCACCCTTAATTTATACTTCAGGTTATATATTAATATTGTAAAGTCAATACTACAAGTAGGTTAATTATAACAATGCTCTTGGGAAATATTGAATAGTTTCAAACAGAAAAAGATGAAGCCAGATGGATTTGTTTTTGTAGCTTCAAAAGCTACAAACGTTAAGTATAGAGTTAGAGGTAGAACCCAATAAAGTCCATATATCATAACTTAATTTTAGCTTATGCATATATAATCCTACGACTGGAGATATCTTTTAACCAACCAAACTGATCGATTCATCTGCTCTAAGCCTCTGTTTTATCAAGGTCATCAACATCGTCAACACTAATGAAAAGATCTGTACGTATGAAAACTTATAAAGTACAAGTTTAGAATATCTAGTAGAGGACAGCGTAAAAAAGTGCTAAAATAAAGAAGAAAATTACCCATTGGCAATGTTCTTGGGTTCCCATCCAGAAAGGTTACTTGCATCGACAATTGCTTTTTTCCAAGATTCAACTTTGTTCTTGTTCTCCAACTTATGTTTGGCAAATGCTTCTCCATATTTTCCTTTTTGTTTTCGTAATGTAGATGGATCTACGTCATAAAATATTGGCATAACGATTTTCCCTGTTGTATCCTTGCATTTCATAATATGTGCAAGTTCATCTAAGCACCACGATGAATCTGCATAGTTTATAGAGAATACAATGACGGCTATCTGTGATTCCTCAATAGCCTTCATAAGGGATGGACGGATCGATTCACCCTGACCAACTGTTTCATCATCCTTGTAAGTGTCGATCCCTTGTAGAACAAGAGCTGAGTAGAGATGATCAACAAAAGTCTTGCGGGTATCTTCTCCTCTGAAACTAAGGAAAACATCATGATTCCATGATTGAGAAGAAAAGGCTGGAGCAGAAGGAGAAGATGATGATGACGCCATTGATGAGTTGATTTGTCTAGATAGAAGTTATGTGATGTGGTTCATGCACCTCAATGAAATGAACTATATAAAGAAAGAGAGAAATGTGAGTTTCCAAGAAATTTCCAACTTTACCAGAAGCTCACGAAATATCTATGTAAAGACATGCTGATTTGTTAATATATATATAATATATATATATATATATATATATATATATATATATATATATATATATATATATATATATATATATATATATATATATATATATATATATATATATATAGAGAGAGAGAGAGAGAGAGAGATCTGACTTTCTAAGGATATACCAATCCACGAAAAGCTAAAAGAAATACACTTTGACATTTTCAATATAAATCATCAAAATCAATGATTTTTTATTGCAACAGAAAGCGACTTGCTTATCTAATTCTACCAATATACACAACAGATGATTTTCTAAGAAACTTTCAACTTACCGAAAGCTAAAGAAATATCCACTTGACAACTTTAATATAAGTTAGTTGATTTCAGATTGATGATATCATCATCATAAATTCATAATCAATGATTTTTTATTGCAACACTAACAACCTGCTTAGCTACTTCTACCAATATACACAAAAGTGATATTCTAAGAAATTTCCAGTTGACATTTTCAATATCAATATATCCAAGAGATGTGATTTTCAAAGAAATTTACAGTTGGCCAAAACCTTAAGATAAACCCACTTGACATTTTCAATATAAAGAGAGTTGATTAACATGGGAAAATGACACCGTAGCACAATGAAGTTTGTGTTTTGTCGCGAATTGATCATTAAAGTTATTTTTTTACACAATAGGTCATTAAATTTGCAAATTACATTTTAAACAGTTCTCAAGTTATTATGGGGCATAGATGACCGTGGAATTTAGTGCTATGGTTGAGGAGGTTTGGAAGTTTAATGGGTTTCGAATGTTCCCAATGGTGAAAAAACTTAAATGTTTGAAAAAACCTTGCAGAAGGTTGGCTCAACAATTCAGTAAGTTTGAAGATAAGAAGAAAACTATACATCACTATAAGAAATATGAGTATTAGCGGCGACAACCGCTATTTGCGGCGACAACCAACATTTTCGTTGGTCGTCGCCGCTAATACTCTTTGACCACGATCCGAGTGAAAGTCGAAAATTACACCCTACCCGTCGATCTTGTTGCAAATCCAACGGCTTAAACGTCGTTTTGTACATCATCAATAGCGGCGACACCAATGGCGACAACGGTGTCGCTGCTAGATGGCGCCAAACTTCCCTCTACTCGTGCGTCGCCGCTATTAGCATTATGTCGCCACTAATACATTGGCGTCGCCGCTAATACTCTGGACGAATAATACCACCAGTTTCTTTTGTCTTCTGTTTTGTGTTCCTATCTCATCTCAACAACAATTCTTTGCACCGGAAGAATAATTGCCAACATTGATCTCGATTTCACCAGAAAAAACCCCAACCCCACCCATCAATAGCGACATGCGACTCCCATCAACGACAACTCCCATCACCGGCGACAAGTAACAATGTGTCGTTTTTTTTCTATAACTTTTCTCTTTTCTCCACTGAAAACTAAAATTTGTTGTGTTCCTTTACCGGAATTTCCAGCTTTAGTGTCGGAATTTGGAGCTCCTACCAGAAAAAATTTGGAACATCACTTATTTGACGGAATTCTTGCCAAAATTGAGGAACCCTCGCCTGGAAAGCTTCGAAATCACACCACTACAGGTTCCTTTTCATCTTTTTCTCTTTAATTTTGTTTGTAGAATGTTTATATTATGTATACATGATAGGTATTTGTATGTGTATGATGTGTGTATGTGTTTTTCCATGTGTATTTGTATGTGTAGTATTTGTGTATGTATATGACTTTTGAAATTGTATATGTAATTTGTATGTACGGAAAAAATGAAAAAAAAAAAAGTTGCTATAATGGAAAAAAGTATGATGTTATAATGAATATGTAATATGTGTAGGAAGCATGTTTAAATGTATTTGTATGTGTAACGGCCCGACTCCCACGTGATAATTTTATGGCTTTAATTTTCATAATTGCAAGGTTTACTCGACGAGTTGGATGCCCTAACTCGTCGGGTAGAAGCGGATTGCGCCACGTATTTAAGCGACCTACTCACCGAGTCCAAGATAGGACTCGACGAGTAGGAGTTGGAGGATGAAACCCTAATTTCCGGGGTTTTGCACCCTATTTAAAGGATCATTAGCCTCCTTTAGCCCCCTTGCAGCCTCTTCAGAGTCCAGCAAACCCTAATTCTTGTGTGTGCTCCATCCTTGTGTGTTTTAAGCTTTAGAAGGTGGATTTTAGTGAGAAGAGTTTGGAGAGCAAGTGGTTAGAAGCAAGGAACGTGTGAGGATTTGATATCTACCTCAATTAGCATCTTTTGGAAGGTATCAAGTTGTTACCTTGACCTCATTTCCTTCTAGATCTCATTTGGTTAATGATTAGGGCTTTCTGGTATATTAAGAAGCTATTCTTGGGTATGAGCTAAGATCTGAAGTAGTAACTTCAGATCTGAACTCTCTTTGGTCTCTAAGTCCATAAAGCTTTCAGCTTTAGCAAGTATGAACCTCTCCCTAAGTGTAAAACTCCATTACAAGCTTGGTTTTGACATAATAAGACTTTAGAGCCTTGCATGCATGTAAGGTTTGCAACTTTACGTCATAAACATGCCTTAGGAGGCCGGATCTACAGTATGGAACCTTAAAATGGCTTAAAAAGCATCTGAATAGATAATGGACTGAAGGGACTCGACGAGTTTCATGGCCAACTCAGCGAGTCCGATGAAGATTGTCGTGCAAGGACTTCTGCATGGACTCGTCCAATCTGCAGGGTGACTCGGCGAGTCAACATGGGTTTTCCCAACTTTTGGACATGCTTGAACTCGGCGAGTTGTAAGAAACTCAACGAGTCAGTGGGGGGGGGGGATTTCACGACTACTCGAGTTCCAGAAGGACTCGACGAGTCAGTGACTACACTCGATGAGTCGGGTCAACATGGACTGTTGATCTTGACCGTTGACTTTGACTTTGACCAAGGGTTGGCTAATTGACTTCTGGGGCATTTTGGGAAATTGGAAATTTATGAGTATGGTTCTATGGTGAATATAGGTGGTGGAGTTTGTGGCGGTGATCCGAGAGTTTGAGCTTATCTTTCGAGTTAACAGTTGAGAGGTGAGTTACCTCACTATACTAAGGGGTCTAAGGCACCAAGGTCGGCCTATTGGATATGATATCCTAGCAGTTGGTAGTATGTTGAGTATGAGTTAGTGTTTCATGTTAGTTGCTATGCCAATTAGGTAGATCGCGTTTCGGACCCGTTATGGACATTAGGAGTTCGTGGTGATGACGTTTGGCCTCACCAACGCGCCAACAGTACTGATGGACCTGATGAATCGGGATTGCATACCGATGCTTGATCGCTCGATTATCATGTTTATAGATGATATCTTGGGGTATTCTAAACACCAAGAACAGCACGAGGAGCACCTCAGGGAGTTATTGGAAGTTCTAAGACGAGAACGGTTGTATGACAAGTTCTCGAAGTGTGAGTTTTGGTTACGAGACATCTCGTTTATAAAAAATAGAGTATCCCTTTTAATAAAAATATTGTGGAATTTGTTCCCAGTAAAACATGATAAATACGTTATCAAAGCATTTCCAAAAAAAAATATATTTTTATTCATTTTAAAACATTTGGGATATCATCGTCAATACATAAAAATAAGCATAAACAGAACTTACATTCGTTATCACTAGTGATTTATATTTCCTTAATCTCTCAGTGTAATGTGACTTCATATCAACACATGTGATATAAATAAAGTGAGTAGGTCAGGTTGGGAAAACTAGTGAGTACATAGGGTTTTCAACCCACAATAATATAATTATTATGTTTAATCATCAAACAGTTAATCGAATCACTCATCCCCATTATCTTCTTTACTCTTAAGGATCTACCCTAAGAATCAGCTATTTCTCATTCATTTATTCCTAAGGATTATCCTAAGGAATAAGTACGAAGTCCATCGTTGTCAATGACACAGCTGTCAAGCACAGCTGCTAGTTCTATCACTTAGTCGCAACTGCCAGAATTGTGACATTCTCTATGAGGCGCAACTGTCGGTATTGTCCTTTGGGCACAGCTGCTAGAGTTATCTCTTTTATTGGAAGGATCATTTTCAAGAGTCCACTCGCAACACGTGTCAATGGGTTTTTAGAGTACACCGGTGAATACATCGTTCACAACACCTATAGGTTGTGAGTCTGCTAGTGTTCCATTGAATTGTCTAGAATAGTATGAGGTTGTCATCCATACTCTGCTAAATGACAGGACCATCATTTGGTAACAAGGCTTCTAACATCGTCTACCTCTCACCCTTACCTCATGGTCTATATCACCTCTCAACTCATCATCATCTACCCATGTTTTACCCAACATATTATGTAGATATAAATACATATACATTTTAAATCATATAAAACTTGTATAAAATCGTTCATCCAATATAGATAGCAAGTATACAGATAATATGCACACATAGTACGTAGTTTATATAAAATACTTCATATCTATGTGTAAGATGAAAGGGACCATGCACTCACTTGAAAAGGTGGTGACTCGACACTCGGACAACATTTTGTTACTCTTAAAACAATTTTCCTTTGAAAAAACTAGTATCATTATCACTAGAGATTAGTCTAATATACATCAAGACTAATTAATAGTCTTGCTATTATTACTATTATATAATCATGAAACAATATTTCTCAACCACTATATACAGACAGGGGCCAGACATAAAACACTGGAGGGCAGGACCATTTTGGCATATAACACTTCTGAAATCCAACAACCCTATGCAGCGCTTTAAACCAGATTCCTCGTAGTGCGAGTGGTTAAAAAGATATTATAATGACACTTATATAAGTCATAATAATAGCCTAAATACTCATTATAAGTTCCTAATAACA